AAGAGGGAGGAGGGACAAGAGGAGAGGAGGTGGGAGGAGGAAGAGAGGAGAAGGAGAGGAGGAAGGAGGGACAGGAGGAGAGGAGGTGGAAAGAGGAAAAGAGGGAGGAGGGACAGGAGGAGAGGAGGAAGGAGGAAGAGAGGAGAAGGAGGTGGGAGGAGGAAGAGAGGAGAAAGAGGAGGGAGGATGAGAGGGAGAAGAGGAGAGATGGAGGAGGGAGAGGAGTTGGGAGGAGGAAAAGAGGAGAAGGAGGAAGGAAGAGGAAGAGAGAAAGAGGAGGGAAAATGAGAGGATGAGGAGAAGGGAGGAGGACGAAGAGAGAGAGGAGGAAGCATGAGGAAGGAGGATGAACGGGAGAAGAGGAGGGAGGAGGGAGGAAGAGAGGGAGAGGAAAAGGGAGGATGAGAGTAGGAGGGGGGAGAGGGGGGAAGGATAGAGGACGAGAGGGAGAGGAGGAGGAAGGGATGCAAAGAAAAGGAGAAGAAGGAGGAAGAATGATCAGAAGTCGAAGGGAAATAATGATAATGGTAATATTAATGACAATGATGATAGTAATGATAATGATAATAATAATAATAATAATAATAATCGTAACAAAATAGAAAGAGAGACAGAGAGACGAGATACAAAATAAACGAAAGAAAGACAGATACATAAACAGAGATATAGACAGAAGGATAAAGAAATAAAAACATAAAACATAAAACAAAAACAAAAATCACACAAACGACAAGGAGAAGAGATAAAGGAGAAATGCGAAGTCCCCTCTTGATATTGCATTTATAACTCGCACTCTGAACGATTAAATAGACACGGGAATTTTAAAAAAAGGTGGGGAAAGAAAGAGAGAATCTGGAATTGATTTGATTACTGTCGGAAGAGGAAAGTTATATATATATAGCGGGGAAAGGGAGAGAGAGGCTCATGCATAAAAACTAAATCAATTGTGATTAATTTATCTTTGATACGAATGCTTGATATTTTTTTTAGGTTGCATATGGTTCATGATTGATAATGATTGAGAGAAAAGCTAATCTGTAAAGGATTTTATTTTCTGTAGTGATTAATCTGTCTTTGTTATGATTTTTTTAGTTTCCTGATGTTTATTGATATCTTTGTGTTTGTTATTAGGTAAGATTAGATACACTTTTATTTCTTAATTGATAATGATGGTAATGATATGGATAGTAAAGTGATAATGATGATAATAATAGTAATGATAATGATTATAATTATGATAAACCGATAAATCAAATGGAAAAAGACAAAATAAATAAAGACAATATAAACAAATTTAATCTTAAAAAAGAAAAGAATATTTACCCCCCAAAATTATATCGAAATGCGATCCTGAATCATTAAAAAAAAAAAAACTTTTAAGAATATCACCCATTATATTATCAGTACAACAAAGATTACGAACAACACCGACATCTCATCTACAAACACTTGCAAAATACCAACGAACCGACAAACACAATCTTAAATACAACTTGACAATACTAACAACAACAAAAGTACTTTATACTCATCTTTCAAATTCATAACAATGGGTCTCTATCATACAAGCAAACTCTACACACAATACAATACAGATACGATACAAATGCATTGCAAGTACAATACAAATACAATACAGATACAACGACCGCAGGGCAACCATAGGGAATATTGGAGAGGGGGGGGGGGGTACGTATAAACAACCATAAAGTCAACCAACACAGTCTGAATCCACCATTAAGGAGATATTTACAGGATATAAACAGACAAGGGGAAAAAAGAGAGAAAGAGGCAGAGAGAGAGAGAGAGAAGAAAGAATAGAGAAGAGAGAGGAAGAGAGAGAGAGAGAGAGAGAGAGAGAGAGAGAGAGAGAGAGAGAGAGAGATAGAGAGAGAGAGAGAGAGAGAGAGAGAGAGAGAGAGAGAGAGAGAGAGAGAGCGAGAGAGAGAGGGAGAGGAGGGGGGGGGGAAAGAGACAAAGACAGGGAGATGGAAGGATGAATGAACAAAATAAAGGCAGGAAGGAAAAGGAGGCAAGTCAGTGAGGGAGTGAGCGACACCAAGACACGGGGGCAAGGAACTCGGCGCCCACACCAGCTACACAGAGTCAACGGGTCCACCACAACAAGAGACATTCTCGACGAGGCAATCAGCGTGCGTCTACCTCGATAGCCAGAGCATCGAGCAAAGGATCCCCTTGAGGAGGACGGTCACTCCCCAGCCCTGGCGACGTCGGGGAGAGAGCCACAGGTGGGCGGCGTAGATGGAGGAGTGGGCGCTGCGGAGGGGCGGCGCCGAGGGGGCTCTTGAGGGGGGCGTGGCCTAAGAACCGCAGTTTCCTCTGGGTCCCTGGGGGTGGTGGGACGTGGGGTCCTGTCTGTTGGGGGGAGGAGGGAGGAGCGAGTGCAGTGAAGGGGGTGTTTGTGTCTTAGTCTCACCGGGGTCTCAGGGGGACGCGCTCAAGCCTAGCGTTCGTGGAGGATATTATTTGGAAGTCCTCAGTAAGGGTAAAATGATAATAATGGGCTGAGTTCTTATATGCATTAGTTCTTATATGTCTCAGTTCTTATATGTCTCAGGGGGACGCACTCAAGCCAAATGTTCGGGGAGAATTTTGTATGGATTTCCACAAAAGGAGAGAGAAAATAATAAAGAGGGTCCCGCTTGAGACTAGATATAAAGACGATTTGATGTATATATATATATATATATATATATATATATATATATATATATATATATATATATATATATATATATATATATATATATATATATATATACATACATATATATGTATATATATATATATATATATATATATATATATATATATATATATATATATATATATATATATATATATATATATATACTACATATATATATATATATATATATATATATATATATATATATATATATATATATATATATATATATATATATATGTATATATATATATATGTATATATATACACACACATTGTTACAGACACAGGAATAGAGA